CATTTCTTTCGTTTTCGAAGAAGTTTGGTGACAATCGGTAGATGTATTGGTGGGCAATGTTTCACTTTTGACACAAAAGCTTCGTTAGGCCAAGTGACTAGGTTCCGAGGTTGGTCGAGATTTAAGACGGAAGCATAACCAATCAGCTAAGTCTAGCTAAACCTCTGTTGGCTGTCGGCCAAAGGATTTTTGTGTGTTTGGGTGGGTGAACGAATGGTTGGTCGATGGGGAAACCTAGATGGGTTTGTGTCCAGTCTAGGGTCTGGTTCGGTTCATTTGATGGTCCCTCTTGAACATCGTTTGAACCCTCTGTCCGACTCTGTGGTGAGCTAGTGCTAAGATAGTTATGTAATAGGGATTCTGTGTGTATGAAATTAACTGCGACGATTGCACTAAGGTTTACATAGGACAAACTGCCAGGGAATTGCACAGCAGAATTGGTGAGCATAAAAGAAGTATAAACAAACACGTACTCCCTAAAACCGAATAAGTGAGTGTAGAATGAATGACATATGGTGATGGAAGGCGACGGCCGAGGATATGAGGGCCTTTACAATAGGTACCCACTACACTCTATTTCGAGGCCTTCGATCATTTAAGGTCAAAGAAACTCGAAACAAAGAGTAACCGAAAAAGATCAATCCTCAGAAGCGACAGTTTGAGATGTAGGCTGAACACCATGAAGAGCAATTCGGCGGACTCCTTCAAGATGTTAAGTGAAGATAAGTGGGACATTGACATTAGATTTCCAAATATAAGGTAGTATCCCATAAGATCTTGTTCTTTAAACGAGGAACGGTCCATACTGTGCGCTTTTAAAAAAAGTTGGTGAAACATCATCATCATGGACAGCATGACATCAGTGCTCAACACCGATGCTTCACTGCCGTACAACCATGACTTATTTGAAAGCCTTATTGTGAAGAAAAGAATAAAGGTGTATGAGGTAGGGACTTAGTGCTAGCTTAACACAATCATTCCGAGGTTCATACAACTCCAGACATTCACTCAGGCAATCTGGATAGAAACTGACAACAAGAACGCCACTGACATCGGTTGGCAGCCGTATCTTGTAGTGTCTCCAACCAGGCACAGTGAAGATCATGCGGTCCCCATCCTGGAAGGCGAGTAGCACCGACAGCACCCAAGCGTTTCGTGATCTCCTTCATACTCCTCTGCCAGGTCATGGGTTGGCCACCTCTCTGTTTACGCCACTCCGAATTGGGCATGGAAAACAGCACTCTCTTCGGCAAACGATGGTTCGGCATGCGTAACACATGTCCC